CGTTGTGCACCCGGCAGAGCAGGGGAAGCTGAAAAGCCCTTGACCAGTGTGAGCACTACTCAGCAACTATTTAGCAACAGCTTAGCACTACTTAGCAAGAACCAAAACGTCAGTGTATCATCAACATTGTTCTCATCCTAAACCCAAAACACAGCACCATACCGGCTACCAAGAAGAAAATTAACTCTATCCCAGCTGAAACCAGGACAAGCCCCAAGCCATCTCCTGGCTGGGGGCACCTGGGGTGCACTAAGCAAGGAACCACAGGGCTCCCTGGCTCCGTACTGCTCTGGAAGGTCAGCAGCACTGGCAGGGAGGTGGGAGCATCCCCTGGCCAGTGCCCTGTGGGCTGCAGATGGGGAGGGCAGGCGGGCAGCCACCAGCCTGTCTCCTGTCTCCCTCTCCCACCCAGGCACCACGGCAGCTTCTGGAGGGCCCTGAGTGCCTGCTTCCCCCTGCGCTGGCATGGTCTCATGCTGCTCGTCTGTGGCTCAGCATATGTGGCTCTTCTTGAAGATGGGCAACCGCTCGGCCTCCACCTCGGCCTGGCCAGCCTGTGCCAGCTCCTCATCCTCGCTCTGGGGCTCCACGTAAGGCATTAAGACCTCTAGCCTGGCCAGGCATCCCGGGGAGCGCGGCAGCCCCAAGCAGTCGAGAGGGCACATGGCCCAACTCTGCGTGGCCCCTGCATGTACAGCCCACCCACACGCAGCCCCGCAGCAGGAGAAACGCTCTTGTTAGCTCAGCCCCAAAGAGCTGATCTCCTCAGCCCCATACTGGCACGTGCGCCAGCAGGAAAGCCGGGCTGCCTTTTAACGAGCACAGCTGCCCCGGGTGCTGGCAGCAGCCCTGCTGCAGCCAGAGCTCTGCTGACACAAAAAATGGGTATTTTTAAATCTATCAATCAAGGTGGTGCTTGGGGGGAAAGGGTAGCCTGTGTGGTCTCTAAAGTGTTAATTATCAGGCGTGCTGTGGGTGGCAGAGCCAAGCTCCAGCTACCTCTGCAGCATTGGGTGGGCTCTGCTTTACCCCAGCAGAGCTGGAAAGGGAGAGAGGTCACACAGGCTACAGAAAGGTGCAGTGGGGAGGGCGGCCGTCAGGTGCCTGTGGGGTTTCATCACCCATTTCCACCTAAATGAGCACGCAGAGCTGGCAGGGGCCACCGGTGGCCCTGGAAATCCCACCATCAGGCGCTGGGATGTCTCCTCCCACATGCTGGAAGCACTGGGCTGGTGCACAAGTTGCACTGGGGCATGCAATCCCAATGGAGGATGAAGCCAGAAATGTGTTTGGCTCACTCCAGCATCAGCTTCCTAATCTGCAGGGGCTGTATGAGCCATCAAGGACTCTTGGCCCCACTACCCGATGTGGTGGTGGAAGGGGGCAGCAGGGTTGCTCACTCTCCAGATCTCTTTGAAGAGGGTGGCTGCTCTCCAATCCCTGTAGAGAACCAACTATTGCAAAAGAGCCCAGGTGGCTGCTTTCATCACCACTGGTCTGTCTTTCCTTCCCTTCGTAGAAGCCCTCAGCAGTGGAAATGTCTGAGATGTCTGAGAGGTCCAAGCAGAATGTCGCTCATGGGCTTGCCTGGTCTTACTACGTTGGGTACCTAAAAATAGTCCTGCCACGTACGTAGCTGTTACCCTGCATTATCATGCCTACAGATAGAAATAGCTCCTAATAACAATCCTGGCACTTCTACAGTGTTAGCAGGGAAATGGGGAGCAAGGTAGAAAGCAGCTGTACTCACGCCAGGCACCTCTGCCCGATGCTCTTTTCCACCAGGGGTGAAAAAGTCGATGGAGGAATTCAGCAGAGCCAACCCCAACGTGCTGGCACGCAGGGAGACCTGGAAGCTCCACATCTTGGTCCCTCTGAGCTGTGATGTGTATGATGACCTGGAGAAAGCTGACAGCAATATCCAGTACCTGATGGACCTCCCTGAAACCACCCTGACCCGAGCTGGCACCAAAAAAAGAGTCTACAAACACAGCCTCTACACAATCAGGGATGAAGGCAACAAGGTATACTGACTGCAGCATCGGGAAAGCAGTCAGCATGCATCAGCCCAAAGGTCTTCCTCGCCTCAGATCCCATCCCAGAAGTGGCCACAAGGGCAGGACAGTGTCCCCTCTCCTATTAGATACTCCCAGCTTTCAGCAGGCTTCCACGAGACAGAGAGGTCCCATCCGTGCCGGCCATCTGCACCCCTTCTTCCTGGCTGCCTCCTTCCAGGCTCAGCCCTTTCAGGGATGCTGGGATGACTTACCCCTCCTGGAGTTTATTTAAGTCTGGAAAACAGCAGAAAACTGAGCAGAAAAAAGCAGATGTGGGGTCCAGAGCATCACTTCCAATAGGATGAATGAATATTTCCTTTTGTTGTGAAGAGGTGCTTGAAAATGTCTGTGTGGGTCATTATGTAATTTGACTCTCTCCCCTTCCCCCAGTCACCTCTTTTCCAGGCTGACAAGCCCTGAATCCCTCCACCTCACATTGCATTCACCTCCTTCCACATCTCCAGGCAGACAGGCCTCTGCCCCTGCACCCTTGGAGGTGGGAACACACTGGTCCTGCTGGCATGGCCATGGATGAGCGATGCTTCTCATGTGGGTCTCCCTAATTTGCCATTTGATGGTGGCTGAGCACTGAGCTGCTGCTTTTAAAGTCCTGCCTGCAGGGACTCCAGAGCCTCTTTCAAGGCCCTGCTCCTGGGGAAGTACAGTCAGCATTGGGTTTTTCCTGCTACGAGGCACACACCGATGCTGTGTTTCATCTGTCAGTCTCCTGCTGAGTCACTCGGCACCAAGTGATCTCCAGCGGCTCTGCAGCCTGGACCTGCCCTGAGCTGCTGCATGTCATCAGTAAAATCTGTCCCTCAGCTTTCTGCCGCGTTGCTGGTGAATGCGTGCATGGCAGCAATGCTAGCTCCCATCCTTGGCACCTGCTCCAGGCCACTGTGGCAACTGCCCTCCAAGGCTGGTAGCTCTTCCTGCTACTCTGCGTTTACCCAGAGATCCCATCCCTCTTCCTTCTAATACACTTTATTAAACTTTCCAGTTTGCCCAGTATAAGACTTACTGGTAACCCTGCTCCTCCTTGGGATTTTTATGGCCTAAACAAATCTCTCCTCATTTGTTTGATCAGCCTCCTTCTAGCTGTGCATTCACCTTGCCAGCATTTATCCTCTTCTCCCTTCTCCTACTCTCCATTAGGATGCTCAGATTTCCCCTTCTCTAGTAGAAAAGCCACCAAGAAAGTGTGATCAGACATGGGCAAGGAGGGGTCTCCACGGATTTTCCCTCCATGGGAAAATCCCCAGGCTGTGGCTTGGGAGTGCTGCCAAAGCCAGTGGCTGCACACTGGGGCCCTGCGGGAGGGAGGCAGCTTCCTGAGCGCCTGGGGCACAGCCATACCTGCCTCTCTGCCAGGCCAGTTGCTCTTTCCCCGCTCAACACAGGGCAGGAGCCCTGTCCTGGGGGCCCAGCACACAGCACCAGTGCAGGGCAGGCCATGGAGCTGCCGAGGGGTCTCGAGGGCTCTCCCCAGCACCAGGGTCCCCCGGCAGCCCTTTGCCAGGTGCTTGGTCCTCCTGCCCCCATGTCTTTTTCTTCCATCCCTGCAGCTCTGGCACTGCGCAGTGGAGTATGCCACACCGCTGCAGTCCCTCTACGCCATGTCCCAGGATGAGTATGCTGCTTTCAGCCGGGAGGACCGCCTGGAGCAGGCCAAGCTTTTCTACAGGACATTGGAGGAGATCCTGAAAGGCTCCAAGGAGTGTGCGGGTACCTACCGGCTCATTGTGTACGAGGGTGAGTGAGGAGGGGAAGAGGGCAGGGGTGCCCAGCACAGTGGCTGTGCTCCCCCAGCCCCTTGAGTGACCTCGGATCAGGGCAAACAAGGGGAAGCAGGCAGGATCCATGTAGCGCTTGGCTGATATCCCCACTCACACGGGCATGGGGGTCCGTGCCGCAGTGGGAGGAAGGGGCTGCCTCCCAACACAGAAGGACTCCTTGCTGTGGGTCTCAGAGGAGTGGGGAGGATGCTGGCAGAGCTGGTCCCTGTTGAAGTCCCCAGAGGCACCTGAGACAAGCAGTCTTCCGCTGGGGCAGCAAGAATGCTCCCTCAACAATTGAATATAACAGCGGGCTTCCAGGGGAAGGAGCAGCTCCCTTCACTACTGATGTTCCTGGGAGAAATGGCTGGGGCTGTCAAGCCCTCCCCAGCACTGGGACGGGTGTTGGTGTGTGTGCTGGCTCAGC